GCGCCCCGCCTAATTAAGGTATTTGAATGTCTTTATGGATCAAGGTACTGTCAGGTATCTTTTGTTACTTGCACCTGACTGTTCCCAAATCCACAGCTAGAAACCTTCAAACCCATCACTTCCAGCTGCACATAGCCTCATCCATTTATCCCAAATATGATCATTTTCTATGAATGCCATCCATGTTGTAAAAAAAATTGGAAATTCCTGTCCTCTCTTTGCTCACCTACAAAATATATCTCTGCCCATTCTAATCACCTTTGTCCCAGTCTCAAAAAATGAAGGGTCTTGATCAAGGTCAGCAACCCTCTATCTTTGCTTTTAATTTATACCCTACCATCTTCTCTATGAATTATTCTGTCTCTTCAACCTCTTCACTCTTGACTAGCTCCTCTCCTGTAGTCTATAACATGTCTTGAGTATCTTCCATCCTAAAATTTTAAAATTAAAAATCTTTGAGACCCTGTTTCCCTATCGAGTGCTACGTATTCTCTCTTTTCTTGGTTAAACCAGAGTCTATGTTTCCATTTTATCATTTCCTATTCACTCTGAACCCTGCTTATTTCTGTCTCCCTTATCCCATCATACCACTGAAATAGCTCTCAAGATGGTTAACCTCAGCATCTTTACTACTAGATCTAATGGACACTTTTAAGTCTTCATTTTATTTGATTTTTTCTGCTTGTATTTGACACTTAACCACTCACAACTTCCTAAGTTTCTATTTCCTTGACAGTATTTCTCCTGCTTTTCTTCCTACTTTTCTAATTGTTCCTTCTATGTCTCCTTAATGGATTCTATTTAGCTCACCTTAAATGTTGCTGTTCTTCACATTTCTGTGGACTTACCACTCTTCACTTGGCATAGTTCCACACACAGGGCATTAACCTCCAACATATATATATATTATTTGTTTTCAAAACCATAATTCCAACCCTGACCTCTCTCGGCATTAGATGCATAGATGGTCAATTATCAGGTCACCAAAAAATAATTTCTATTACCTACTTATAAAGTTCATAGCGTGAAAATTTGTGTGAGGTGATTTCGACAGCCTTTGAGAAATTAAAGTTTAATTTTGGTTTTAGTCTAGTTTTTATTTCCTCACAATCATTTCATCCTACACATTTTTTGCAGTGTATTTGCATCCTAGCTTGGTCGAATGTCAATTTTGTGTAAGATTCACATTTAAGATATTGAGAACTTCTCAAAAATTTAAAGTATTTGCAAAATATTTCACAAATTCAGGTTTTTTTTAAAAAAATTGTGAATTAAGACATTTAAAAGTAAGTTCTTCTACTTTATTTTTTTTTCAAGGATATCATGGTTGTTCTTGACCCTTTTCTTTTCTCTACACATTTTAAAATTACCTAGTCAACTTACACACACACATATACC